TGTCACAGCACAAAGCAGCTGCTGGCATCATGGGCCACCAGCCTGCAGGCCCAGCCAAGCCTGGTAGACTTCCAGGATGGTGCCTACATGCAGCGAATATATTTCACCCAGCTTAGCAAGGCGTGAATTTTTAAAGCTGGACTGCTAATGCAGCCTAAACTCCTACTAATATTCAGTTTTGTGAGTTTAAACCGCAAGAGACATATTTACAGAACAGTGTAAGCTCTACAGGTTCAGAATCTCTTCTCATTTCTCACTTCTCCTCCTCCATTTCATGATGATCACCAAGCAACTGATGTTATAACAGAGGTCAGAGGAATCTGAGAAGGACTTCAGAAATACTTCCCCCTTCAAAAAAGAAAAAAAAAAAGAAAAATGGAAAATAAAGGAGGAATCGGGGATGTTAATATTTAAATACTCAAAATGAGGATGAGTAAAAATAGGCTTGAAAAGTGTTATGTAGAAGCATTGCTAACTCCTACCATTCAAGCAGAACATGCCTGGCTCTTCTGGTCAAAAAAAAAAAAAACGGAAAATCAAAAAAAGAAAAGTCCATTGAGCTTGGTTAGATATTTTTAAAAATTACATTTTTTTGCTGGAAGGTTGAAGTTTTTTGTTTGTTTTTTACCTTTGCCTTCTGAGCTGTCTGGACACATTTTCTAGCTCTTTTTTTCCAAATGTACAAAGGCTTATTTCTTAAAAAAGAAGATCCTCGCACACTCAGATGGCTCTTAAAAGCCTCACATATCTTAACTCTTGGGGAGTTGGAAGCCCTACAAATAGCAGGGCCCTACAAAAGATCTTTTACCAACATTTCCAATGCAAAAATGTAGCTGAATCACCGGCTAGACAGGACAGCATTGGGGTGAAGAGCACAAGGTCACCCTGGCACCTTCCTCCCTCCGATGCCAATGAGAGATTTCTCTGCCACGTGGCTTCCTCAGCGGCTGGCAAAAAGGCCTGTATTTCTGCCTGGCTTTTCACCCTTAAGAACTGTGATCCCTCAGCTGGAATGCAGAAGGAAATCCAGGAACATCAGTAGAGCTTTAATGTTCCTTTTACACTAATCCCGCTCACTGGTGTTTTAGGGGTTTGTTTGCTGTTCCTTTCATTTAAGGCCAGCTTTGCAACAGCAAAGTGGGCTGCATGTGCACAACGGGCAGCTCCTGATCGCTGCTGCCCAACAGGGTGATTTAGGAGAGCAGAGGACTAAGCTGCTGGCTGCATCTCCTCGCCGTGGGAGAAGTTCTCCTGCTGATACCCGCTGGTGAAAGGTTTTGGGTGTTGTCATGGGAACAGCTGTCATCTCCAGCAAAAACCCTTTCCTCCATGGGAGGCTGGAGGCTGCCTTGCTTGTTTACTGCACAAAGCCATTTTTCAGGCGTATTTTGTCTTTGGTTTCCCATCTATCTTATCTTCCCCAGAAGCCAGGCTGTAGATACTACATGAAGATTACGATGATGGATGGTTATAAAGTCTCTAAAGGGAACAGGCAGGACCCAGTATTTGTCTACACCATGAGCTAGCTTTGATTTGCAGGAAAGGTGATGTGACAGCTTATCTTCTCCTTGCAAGCTCACTCCTGCTCTCTCATACACACACATTTCTCCCCTTCCTTCCCCCAGGAGTCTACTGACCCTCTTTGTTTGTACAGCTCCCCAAGGGCAAGGCCGAAGCCAGCACACTGCATCACCCTCTTTAGACCATGCTGATGGACTGGGACATTTGCAACATCACATTTCCCCAAGTGACATACCCTGGGTGGAAATCTAACTGCCCCAAAGGTCCCTACTGGGGTAATTTTTACGTGTGCTACCTGCAGCCCCAGCTACGCAGCACGAGTCCCACCTGGCCAGCACCAACACGGTCCTCATGTCATCAGCTCTCGGGGGCCGAGACAGCAGCAAAGAAAACCACAACCAACACGTCACTGGCTACAGACTATCCTGTGCTTCCTGAAACACTGATTTAACATCACAGCTATCTCACAAATAGAACCCAAAGAGAACATTACCTGTTCTCTTCATTCAGGTAGCAGCAGCTGTCAGTCATAGGCCTTGACCACACATGAATCTAGCTGAGCAAACAGCTGATCTCTGATATAAGAATGGATGGAGAAGCACAAAGACGTTGGAAAATAAGTCATTTTGAATGGGAGGCTCTGACTGGTTTTTGTTTTTATTTATTTATTTATTTATTTTTTACGCAGTATTTCTTCTCTGAAAATACTGAGGAGGTTGGATCAAGTATTTTGACTCAGATTCTTTCAATCTTGAAATAAAATTCCAGAATTAGAGATCAAAATATTTCAGTTAGGAGGTATAAAAACATTTTGTCGCTTCTAAATCCCCCTCTTTCCTCTGTCTCTATCTAAGAGGACTAATCATCAAATGTGGTATGAATTCACAAGCAGTTTCAGTCAACCTAAAATATATTTTTAGCAAACTTATTGTGAACCTCCAAAAAAAGATAATCAATCTCAAATTTTATAGCATTCTGAACTAGAACATTATTCCTGAAATAGCTTCTCTTCAAACTCCAAGTCTCCATAGCTTCACTCATTGAAGAGACTGATTCTGCAAACTTTCTACACACCAAATTTATACTGACATGAGAGTTTCCTAATTTCTGTCATGACAGAATGAAGTATTGCCCAAGGAATCTCTCTTAAGGCACAGTTATTCCTGAGACACTGAAGTAGAATGACAGGGTTTTTTCAACAGGGTTTTGGGCTGGAGAAGCTGTTTCACACCACTTATTTATAGCAGGTGCCAATTATCATTTCCTAGAATGTTTACAACAAAACGGACTTATGCGAACACTACAAGCTTGACAACAGGTACTATGACAGTCTAACAAGATTTTTATGCATAAATGCAGTTCAACTAATGCCTAAGTACTCAATAATCAAAAGGAATTGCAATTAAGGTGCTGCAGGATGCTACACCATTTCAATGATTATAATAGAAATCATTGTTAGCTTACACTATCATTTATAACTTTGCAATACAGTCATCTCCTGTCTGGCTGGCTCTGATAGAAGAGGGAAACTGGATGAATGTGACTTTTGGAAGACTATGTTTATTAAGCGTTATCAAACAAAAATTGCATATTTTACATATTTGTTACCCAATTCTGAATGCAGCTGTTCAGAGCAGGGATTAATTTCGCCAGAAGTTTGGGCTGACTTTTGAAGTGAAAAACATTTCCAGTGGTGGGCTCCATTCTGCTCCTGAAATTAATGGCAGCCTCTTTGGACTCCTGTTGCCCAAGAGAGGGCTTTTCCTGGGTAAATAAAACCTTCCAATGATTAAATGCTACTATGATTACATATCTGCACCAAAAAAACAACAAAAAAAAAGATGATTTTTTTTCTATCCAGCTTGATAGAAATTCTTCACTACAAGAAACAAACCACTGCACACTGATTACTTATTCATAAGTCATTCCTCAAAGGATCACATCCAACCAGTGAGCACTCCTGAGCCAGCCACAAAGGCAAGTTAGCTACAGATTATGTCAGACAGGAAAGCACAAGTCATTTATTTTTCCTATCTTGCTACTCTGAGATGAAATCTCCCCTTTGTGAGTCATTGATTCCCAGAGACTGCTTGTAACATGCAATAAAAAGTGGAGTTATGCTCTAAAAGTGCTACTGTACTGGCCGAAGGGCATCAGGGACATTCGAGCCTCTTGGCACTTTATGGCACATCTCAAGTACCAACCCTCCAAGCCCTTCAGTATTTTCACAAAAGCTTCCCAACACATGGAGGATCCTACATGGATTTCATGATCCAAATCATAGGCTAGAACAGCATCTGACTTGGCACTGGAATGCTGCTCCGGACCCACCCCTGGCCATTTAATTGGACTGTGACTAATTTACTTACCTTTAGGTGATACTTGCCATAGCACCACTCTGTCACAGAGCGTTAAGTTCCTTCTGTGATTGGCCTTCAGGTTATAATTTAGAGTATATTTAGAGTAAGGCTACAAGAAGTATCACGTCCACTTGTGCATACTGGTGGGTCACGGTATTCAACCACCTCCAGGAAATTCAGAGTGGTTCTGGTGCTCAGCAGCAGTCCTCCCCAGTCTCCCCCAGTCTATGCTGGCAGTGGAGCTGACAGCAACATTGGCTGGAAAAAATTAGGCAGGTTCAGGAGCTAAAGAGGTTTTATAACTTCTCAATTAACTCAAATTAATCACATAGAAACACTGGTGAACATCTCTAGTCTCTTTTATTTTCATTTATAGAAAAAGGTGTATATAAATCAGCAGAATATAAAGAAAATATTCCAAATATTTTCCCATGGAAAATACAAGGCTACTGTTAGCCCCTCCTGGTGCAGCCAGAATGCCTTGGTGTTTAGAGCCCCAGGACTGTGAGGCACTTTGAGGAAACCCAGAGATATTCCTTGAAACCTGAAGTCCAAGGACATACCCATCCCTGGCACCTTCTGTTCTCAGATTTGAACAGACTCATTTCTAACTTAGGTCTTTACCTCATCAGGGCAGCCTCATCTGTAAGACTGAGGACCAATATGAAATGATGAGACCATGGAAACACAAGTGGAAAAGTGGAAACACAAGGAAAAGCTATATAAACACACGCAAGAAGCAGCCACAAAGAAGTGCTATTGCTGTACAAAGGAGGCACTTGAGTTAATTCATTTTACATTGTTGATTATTCAGCGAGACTTTGGGAAATAATAATTAATCATGGGTTTATATTGGCTTTCTTTTCTGTCTATTGTCTTGGTGAATTCTTGCTCCTCTCAAGGAAAGAGGGATTGGAGAGAAGTCATCAGCGTCAGAAAAACCTCTCCCAGGCAGAAGGGGGAGCAAGGATGGGCGTGCAGAAAGACATGGATGCTTTGGAGCCTGCCTGATTTCTTTGAAAACTGAGGAGGATACATGATACTCCAGGCAGATCACAACCTCTTGGAGGCAAACAGCACAGCCCTTGATGCTGAGAAGTCACCGATGTGGCTGTGGTCACTAATGCCACTGCCCGTTTGTGCCAGACAAGCCATCGCCTGGCTCTTTCGCCAGGATCATCGGGAGAATTTAGATGAACAAGAAGCTGTGAACGGAGGGACAGGAGCAGGTGTCCAGCTGGCGAATTCTCTTCCAGGTTCCCCTGCACTGAGGGCTCCCCACAGCCTCCCAGTGCAGCAGCTGATTCCTGAAATGTAATGGGAAAAGGGAGAGGTTACTGCACCACACTCCTGCTGCAGCAAGTCGCTTCTACAGCTAGGCCTTAGGAAACCTCTTAAATCCCGTTTAGTTCGCTAATATCCCATTAAATCCCATTTAGTTTGCTAATATCCATTCTCACTCAATGGCCCCAATTCTGCCTTTCTACTTCTGTGAAGAACTAACTGCAGTGACCCCAGTAGCATAGCAGTAGCATGAAGTGAAGCCACTATCAGTCCTCTTAGGAACACTGCACTGGAAGAACTGGAAGCAGCAGCACATACTGCAGATGTCAAGCCTCCCAAAAAATCACAGAAACGTTCCCTCCAGCTACCAATCACTGCATGCATCAACTCATGAAACACTCCCACTTCCACATAACTATTGTACTGAAGCATTAGACAGGCTGCAAAATGGGCAAAAATCCCTCTTTCTCCATTTTTCTTTACAGCTTCGTGCTTCCTCTCAGCTAGCAGAGCTCTGCTGCCATCCATAGACACCCCAGTGCTGAGTCAGCCCCAGGCAGCCCGTGCGAGGCAGGTGGGGACACAGCGGGGCCTCCAGCTGAGCACGTTAGTGGGACACTTGTCCAAGCTCACCAGCCCCAAGAGCCACATGTTTCTGGACTGCAGCTGGATGGAGATACTAGCTCTTTGTGAGCTGGAACGAGGCTCCTGACGGTCTGTCAGGTTGAAAGCAGAATGAAAAACACGAGCATTATTTCTAACTTTTCTTCCAAGGCAGCCCATGGATATGTTGACCAGAACTGAGCAGAGAAATATCCTATTAAAACAGCAAAGCTAAAGATCCACAGGCCAGTTTTTCATATCAGCAGCTGCAAAAGAAGTGCTGACCTCATAGCCACAGAGGCTGCAATTCTGCAACAGCAGCACTGCAGGCAACAGCAGCACCTTTTCATCACACCTATTCACCCCCTCATATGCACATAGACCGGGGTTTGAACCAAAGGCCAGTAAAACCTGTCTCCACATGCAGCTGGAGCAGGAGCAACAAGGATGCCCCTTCCCAGATTTCCGCATTTCTGTTTGGGAGGATTCCCCACACCAGCGTGCCTCAGCCCTGACCTGGAGAGAAGCACAGACACCAGGATTTTGATCAGCTCTTGCCCTGTGCAGGCAGCTCTTCACAGAATAGCCCAATACATCCTTAACTCCGCTTGCTTTATGGTTCTGTGGAAACTGGAATTACTGCTGTAGCTCCACAGAGATAACACTGCCCTCGGTTTAATGAGAAGTCATGCTCCAGAGCAGGTTTTATGCATCACACATGGCTGGAAAAAAATGCTCAGTGTTATTTTTCTTCTGGCTTGGGGTCATTCAAAATACCAGAATCTGCACAGGAAGAATCAAGATCCCAGATAAAGCAAGCTGGCTGCACAGAGCAGTCCCACGCTCTGCAAAACTCTGGGCTGCAGCTTTACCTTCAGAAGAATCTCTTCCTTAAGCTTAAGGTAAACGTGCCACCTCCAGTCCTGCTGGTGGGGAAAGCAAACACTAACTTCATCCTCCCCCTACCCCATCAGTGTGGACATGAACTATTGCAGCCTGGGCATCTTTATGCTGTAACTGCCCCATCTTGCTCCAGATGCTGAGGAGCAGCTGATCCTCCTTGACACAGGAACAATCTCACAGATGTCAGGTTTGCTACCCTGTGCTTTGTTTGCAGATCTTTCAGAAGATGATCCAAAATTAACAGAACAATTTCCTGGCTCAGTGCTCTGTCCTGTCTGTCTTGCAGTCTTCTGGAAGGAAGAAGCCAACCAATGCAGTGGGATTATCCCAGCTGCCCTCACCTGATGGCCAGGGCCTGGCTGTGAATCAAGGACTTTGTGAAACGAATGCAAGCTCCTGAGATTTCTCCAAAGGGTTAAAGCAAACTAGTGCCTTCTACGGAGTGGGAGACAGGTGGAAGGCACAGATAACAGGCATTTCTCTCAAATTTGAAGCGTTTCTAAACTAGACTCCACTCAGACACAAGAAGATAATTAGGAAATACTCATCAAAACACACCAGCATTGCTGAGTTCTAAATAAACTGTGAGATGTTTTCCTTCCTGCGAGTCACTCTTGGAGCAATGTCTCGGGTAACTACGTGCTGGCACAGCGAGAGGCGGCGCGCGGGCGCGCGGCACGGCGAGGGCACGGGGTGCCTGCGCCCGCCCGGGGCAGTGTCACCCAGCCAGAACCCTGGCCCAGCTCCACACGCCTCCCGCGTCCTCTCCCGCAGGCCAGCAGTCGCCCTACCCTCCTCTTCCTCACGGGCACCACGTTCATGGTCTCTGTGTTGGGCCAGCAAGTCCCTGCAGGAGGGGGTCCCCAAGGAACCAGCCCTGCGCAGCGCTGCTCCCTTGCGCCCTGCGGGCTCAGATCCATCCCCTGCTCCAACGGGGATGGCTACGTGTCCCCTTGCAGGGACATGTCCCTCATCTTGCTCAATGGCTGTGCCCACCAAGAGGCATAACCTCCCCGAGGTTATGGAGGGCAGTTTTGACCTCCCTGCAAGCTGATTAAAAGGAAAAAAGGGCATTATCTCTGGAAACCAATTAGGGGACAGCTCTGTCCAATAATACCTATATGAATTTTTATATCCTATACTTGGCACTTGGGACATTTATACCAAGTGAATCACACCAAGTGCTCAGGCCTAGTTAAGAGCCTCCTTAGTCCACCAAGGTGATACAGAGATGCAGAACACAAGACTAGTCGCCACTGATGAAGCCAAAGGAGCACAGACACACACACACACACAGATGCAGCTCATACCTGCCTATAAAATGCCACACAGCTGTGACTTCACTCGACATTACAGGCAGTAACACCGGAGAGGAGAGGCTGACTGTGTTAAGAGATGGTTTTCACGTCGGTTTCCACAGGCCCGCGCTGAAACGGCCCTGCCAACTTGTCTCACAGGGCTCACACTAAACAAACCTCCAGGAACAACTCCTGGGATCAGCAAGGAGAGAGTCAACCGGCTGCTGAGACGTGCAGGGTCCAGGGCTGCTGAAACCAGTGGTCAAGTCTCACAGCCCCTGTCCACCCCAGCTCCATTGGCTGGTCCCTCCGCAGCGCTACCAGCACGGATCAGATTTGTCCTTCCTAGGAGACACAGTGATACCTCCCTAGTGCTCCTGTTCCATGAGTTGTTCACCAGATAACCAGCTGAATGAAAACAGAGCCCCTCCTTCTTGCAGCCCTGTTTGGAAATAAACTCTTGCAGATATTTTTATTTCACCTAATCTGATGTTCCTGTTGGACTCCAGAGTTTTAGGAAAACAACATTATTGTAAGCTTTTATAATCATGTACATACTGAATGCAGGTAAGAGCTTAGCCTGGCCACACCATTTAAATTTTTCCCTCTTTATCAAAAAAATGTTTGGAAGCTTCATGCACAGCAAGCTGAGGCAAGAAAGGAAAAGGACATTAACATGATTTTGTTTTATTAAAAGCCTGAGACAAATCCTGCCTAAAAAGGCCAACACTGGCAGTCCTGGTAGCATAATATATTACATGTTTAAAGTATAATAAACCTAGTATAGAGTTTCTAATTCAAATTAATGTATTTATTTCAACACGTATAAAAATGTATAAATATGCCTGCCCAGTCCTGACAAACAAAGATTTTTCAGGCAAGGTTGCAATGCAGGATGCTCCTAATAGACTCAAAGCAGGGTTAAACTCCAAGAATATCAGGATAAAAGAACTGGGAGAGCTGAACCTCCAGCAACCACAGCAGAAGCTCTGGAGTCAGGACCACCTGGCTCTGTTGCTGGCTCTGCCATGGACATGTTTCTCAGCTTGAAGAAACAAGCCGTTCCCTTCATCTTTGCTGGAGTCTACTCATCTGTACAACCCGTGTGGTCCTCATCAATCAACCCAAAGCTTCTTGACCTTTCCAAGCAAAGGCTACTGAAAGTGCAAACATTGAGCAGTACTTCCACCCAACCTCAGAGCCAGCACTAATCACCGTCCCTGCGTCAGCTGCCACTCTCCAGGAACACCCATAAGGAGTCACTCGCAGGAACAACGTCCACACCAAGATGAAGCCATTCCAGTTCTTAAAGTGCTTAAAACCACCAACAGATTTGGTTTAATTTGCCATCTCACAAGCCTATTAACCTTTCAGAGAGGGCTGGAATGTCTTAAAAGCACACAGTTGGGCCACTTAAAATGAAACGACAGTGAGATTTAGCCCACTAAGTGCAGGAACTCACACACTCCCATCCTGGCTCTGCCCTTGTTTCACTGTGTGAGCTTCCCCAGATCAATTCAGCTCTGCAGGGAAGTGGTTAGAATATTTCCAGCCTAACTCGTGGTATGCAACAAGGACTGAGTCAATATATGTACAGTACTCTAAGGTGTAAAGTGCTGGCTGAGTGCAGGGCATTATGAAACTGGGACACATCTCCCCAGGCAGATCAAGGCGGAGGAATGCAAAAACCGAACACGAAAACCCTATGCTAAAGGAGGCAGAAGCCCAAGGCCTTACTGTTGGCTCCCGCTGCCGTCCCCGTAGCAGTGCAGGCTCCCGGGATCCAGCGCCGGGTGCTGACACTCCACGCACACCGTGTGGCCCTCCCGCAGGTAGCGCATCCAGAGCGTGTGCGAGCGGTGGCCGCGCAGGCAGCCCGGCGTGATGGCCACGAGCTGGAACTCAACGCAGTACCTGCAACCAGCAGCGCGCACAGCGTTAGCTCCAGATGCAGCCTGCAGCCCTCCAGAGCGTGGGGAGTGCTGGCCCTAAACAGATTATCAATTAAAAGAAAAGAGCAGCACGTGAACCAAAACGCCTGCTGTGCTGGCATCCCGACGAGGCTCACGGGAGTGTAAAGCTGCTCTGCTGGTGCTTTCAAATGCACAAATCAAAGAAGAGCCAAGTCTACTGACATGTCTTTTACAAAGGGGGACATAGAGGCACAGATAGCTCAAGCGTTTGACTAGAGTCAAGAAACAACACAACTGAGTCTCCCAATTCCAACCCAATAATGGGTTTATTTAGTATTTTTTTGACAAGACTTAGACTGTAAAGGGTTTTTTCTACTCTTCTCGCTCCCAGGAGACACAGTGAAGTTACCATGTTTTGATAGGAGGCAGTTTCAGACAACACGTCTGCCCTGCTCAGACTACTCTGCACCAAACCTGAGAGGAAATTCTGAGAAAATGTCCTTGATTCGAGGGGAAACCCAAGGAAGCACAGTAATTGTCTGCAACCCCAGCAAAGAGTTGGATTCTAGTCTAGATTGGCTGTGTATCAGTTGTCGTGGGGATTTCCAAACACCTTTCTGGAGCACAATGGCCCGGGTGAGTAGTTTGCTTCCTTGTCTTATCTCCCAGAGAGAAGGAATAAACGTGTGGGCAGTGGGGCTGTGCCTGCACTTTTGTACTTTCTTTGTACAGAAAGAAGGCTCAACTAGTAAGGAGCCCAACAGAGGCTCAAGGTGAAGAGATGCTCCTTCCTTCAGACACTTAAGTGAGGAGGATGGATGCACCCACATGCTATGGATAATCTTGCACGTATAAGTGTATGTGGGGAAATAAATCAACAAGTGTGCAGCTACTTTGTGATGCAGGAAAGGCTCTGAAAAACATCATGTGGCATCTCCAGGAACGGCAGCTCTCAATAACAGACAGACAAACCTATTAGAGACGGCAAGAATTTTCCCTGGACACTGCAAAACTGCATAAGAGGGGGGTTACAGGATAGAAGACAACCTTTTAGGTCACTGATACTGCACGCAATGACCCCAGACAGGAAAAAAGAGGACCAGGAAGGCTGATGCCTTCCTGCTTGAGGCAGCAGCCTTAGACTCCCTGTAGATGCTGCAGTCATGGAGGGGAGAACGGCTCCCTACCCTAGGGAAGGGCCCTTGATCTGCTGGGAAAAACTGACTCCCCTCAGCAGAAAGGTGGGACCAAAACCGTAACCAGAGAAAAGGATGGAGTATGTGGAGGTGGAACATGACTACACCCCTGTGCTGACCCCCAACTTACCCTGCTCTTTCATTGCCATCAGCTGCAGCTCTTTTTCTCCTTGCTTTTCCAAACCCTCCTGTTGTTATTAATGCTGGAACTGTACATATCAAAGAGAAAGAGTACACAAGGTAAGTGACAATATCGCACTGAGGCTGCTTAAGTCAGCACAACAGTAAGGATTGGCCTTTAATGTCATGTACTTTTTATCTCTAACCTTGAATTCATATTATCAGTGCCTACCATTTCACTGAAAAGAAATTCTGTATTGTTTACAATTTTTTGCCTGAGCAAGACAATCCAACTTATCAGATACATCCAAAAGAGGGAGGGGGAGGCAATATTCACATAACAGCAATTCTCAACAGGTTTGTAAAAGCCAATTGTAGCTAATCTCCAGAATGGAGAGATTTTGGCTCAGAAATACTAGCATAAATCAGAAGCAGTTCTTCTAAAAATCAGTAAAGGCAGGTCATGAAAAGCTGGAATGAACAAAAGCAAATTGGATCTTCTGTTCGGAAAAACACCGGAGATCTCCCCTGCTTGCCCTCTCCTTCAGCTGATGGAGAAGGTGTGGAGAAGACACCCCTTGCCTCGGATGGGGATTGATCCTTTGTGACTTTTTACAGATGACTCATAACACTAAAAGTGCTCAACACCTACCTACAGAAGTTCTAAACAGCCACCAGCATATCAACTTTCACAAAATTACTAGAGATTTATACTCACAAAAGCGGTATCACACCGGAGCTGTGATATTTTGAAACACGTCAGTAAATGGCAGGCACTATTTTTAAATACTATCCCAGGAAGGATCTCTCTCAACCTTGCGTGAAGGTGCAGAGTCCTTCCCCATTTGTGAGGGTTTGTTTGCAGCAGACTCACGCAGGGACTGCTTGCACTCGGCTCCCTGCAGACTCCAGTACTCCATGCAGCCCGCGCGCTCCTCGAGCGCGGGACACGGCTCCCCGCCGTTCCGCGGCTCCCGCAGGACGTGCCGCCTCCGCACGCGATACGGCGCCCTGCAGGGCTCCGCGGCTCCCGCAGGACGTGCCGCCTCCGCACGCGATACGTCGCCTTGCAGGGCTCTGCGCAGCCGCTCCACGCGCTCCACGGCGACACCTCGCACGAGGTCACTGCAGGAGTAGGAAACGGGTTACAGAAGGTTACAGGAGTTATACAAATGACAACAGTAATCTGAAATACATTAGTATCATTCCTGGTGTCTTGTATCCCTCTCCAAGATATTCTCCTATGAGCATACCCATAGCTGAGACAGGATGGGCTCTTTAGATGGACCCAGGAAACCGCAGGAAACCTTCAAGAGAAATGCCCATGAACACTCACCTGCTACTCCATCTCAAAAGCAGCTTGGGGTGCTTGATCAATGGCAACTCACCAAGACAACCTGACCATCAAGATACTGACCAACAGTATACTGTTGGTACCTGACCAACAACATACTAAGGGCAAAAAAATACCCAAAACACTTGCAGGTCAGTCTGGAGAGCTAAAAAGCTTGCCGCATCCCTCAGTTTCATATAACAGGAGAAAATCCAGATCTTACCCAGATTTTTCTACCGGCAGAATTATTCACTCAACTCACTTCTCAACATGTGCTGTCTGTTTCTTTAGAGACAAGCAGACTGGACAAAGCCCAGCAGTTGTTTCCAACTTTTGTTATCACAGGAAAATACAGATACCAAACAAACACCCTCTTGTGGGGAGAAAAAAAAAAAAAAAAGGGTATGGAGAAACTTGTGCCATCATCATCAGGTCAGTGTTATGGGTTTGGTGGGTCTTGACACAGCCACACAACGCGTTAGGAGTGGTATGTGTGCATTCACATTTTCCACTACCACTTGTAACTGCTGGTTCTGCAAATATTTAGAGGGAAAAAGGGTGAGTTCTGTCCTCGCAGAGCCTTTCATCTACTTGGGTGGCAGCTTCATGCAGCAGCAAGAGTTGGACCGAGGAGAAACCTGAGCTATTGGTCTTAACAGGATGCAGTGAATGCAAGAACCCTTCCACTGGCCGTAGCAAAGCACAGGTGGGTAGAGAAGATGTTGTGGAGCATCACTCAGCATTCCCTACGCTTGGGGCTCACCAGGACAGCATTACACTTTATAAAACAGCCCTTAGCTGTCCGTACAGCATTAGAGAGACATTTCTTCTTGCATCCTCAGAGAGAGTTCTGCAGACAGGAGCCCACGGATTATTGCAGATTATTATTATTACATGTAGATCATAATTACAACACAAGAAGAGATTACCAGCCGCACGCAAGCTCCCCAGAACAGTCCCCTGCATCCACTGTCGCTCTCTGCCTCTGGGCCACCACATCACCCATCAAGCCCATGGCGCAGCATGAGGAAAGGGCACCGTGTCCCAGCTGTGAGGCCTCTGCACGGCCTCCCAGAGCTGTCCCCGGCCGGCGGGCACTGGGCACAACCACCTCCCTGCCTTTTCTGGCTCCCTGCGCGCTGCGATAGCCGCAGGAGCCACGGGATGGCACTGCGGCGGGCACGGCACGAGCTGCCAACACCCCCTGCGCAGTAACTGCCCTTCCCGGGGCCTCGCGGGGTAACTAGAGCATCCCGGGTCTCCGAAACCCACAGAGCCGTGCCAAAGGAATACCCCAAAGCCCAGCCATGTTCAGGTAGGGAATAAAGCGTCAGTGAGTGACCGAATACATTACGTCTTCCAAAGAGATGCAAAAACAAGTGAAATTTGCATAGCAAGGTAGAAGTTCATAGCCTTAACCCTACAGGGGATATGTGAGAGAGCAGCTCCAGGGCTGCAGGGAGGCAGAGCTGACGTTTCAGCTGCTCTCCGCACGTGAAGCAGCCGGTGTCAGGGCTGTTCGGGACGGGGCGCACTGCAGACGGGTGTCTGCATCTCGTGACAACCTGCTCCTCGCCGCCACGCTCCACAGCCGGCAGCCAAGCCGCAGCCTCCCTGCATGCCGGGATGGAGCTGAGGCAGGCTCGCGGGACCACCTGCACGTCGCTTTTGGGCTCAAGAGCGGTGTGTGAGAGTCTCCAGACCTGTCAACCTGTCCTCACTCGGACCACAGCTCTGCACTGGAGCTGCAGTCAAGCCTCCTGCCAGGCCAAGTGTTGGAGCAGCAAGCCCTGGAGCTGCCCATACCTTTGGCAGGATCCAGGGGTTAACGGAGCGGCAGCTTGGATCCAGCCACAGTAACTCAGCGGGGCCCGCCATCCCGCCTCGACCAGAACTCATCCCGCCTC